TGGGCGCCCGTATCCACCTTGGCTCTCAAGGTGGCCGGTCTGTTGGTGTTGTCCAGGCTGACATTGAGGGTCGCGAACACCTCTCGCTCTAGTGGCGGTTGGTGACGCTCGACGCTGTCGATGATGACGGCGTCGAAATGCAGTGCGTCGAAGCGTCTCCGTGGGCTGGGGCTCCTCTGGGGGTAGCGCTCCCGCGGGCTGGGGCTCCTCTGGCGCCAGCGTCCGCGTTGCTGGCCCCTTCCATGTGCCTCGTCTCTCCCCTGCGAACGGCATACGTTTGCCCAGTGATTCGCCTTCCCGCATTTGTTGCAGGTGGAGCCGTGCGCTGGGCACTTGCTTGGGTGGTGGGTTCGTCCACATTTGCCGCAGTCTGTGTGTCCCACAGATTTGGAAATGGCGTGAACCATTTCAGGTAGACGGCTGCTGCTGGCGGCGGTGGACAGCTGCTCCATGTGGCGCTGTGTTGCTTCATAAGTACGGGCCTTGTCAAGCGCTTCGTCCAGAGTCAAATCACTACCACCCTCCAGCAGGCGTTCTTGCACTTTCGAGTGCTTCGTCCCCACGATTAGCTGTTCTATCAGGCGATCGTTAGTCTCCTGAGCGTCCCTGAACTTGCACTTGGACGTCTTCTTCTTACACCTCGCAAAGAAATCATCTACAGACTCGTCGGGTTGCTGGCGGTATTTCTGAAGCTCAAACCGAGCCAGTCGTGCATTTACCCGTGGCTGCAAATACTTATTAAATTTCTTGAAGACGGCAGCTACTTTGGATTTGTCGCTTGCATTATCCCACTCGAAACTATTGAAAGCATCAACACCAGTTCTCCCGATCCATAGCATGACATAGGCGACCTTTTCCTTGTCGGACTTGTCGGAAAAGGGCCCTTGGAAAACTAGAAGGCAGTATTGTTGGAACCGCTCGAATTCGTCAGGTAAATCTGCGGCTTGCCAATCCATCGACGGCGGGGTAAATCCGGCTGCTTCTGCCATTTTACCTCTTGCACCGGTGGCGCTACTGCGACAATTCTAGGGCGTTTATTTAGTTTACTTCTGACACCATGTTTCGGGGTAAACAAGTTAGTTGTTTACGATAGGATTATATTCTCACTTGGCCATTGTAGGCAAATCATAAGGACACGACATCTAAAGGATCCTGCATGAAAGTAGGCAGCTGCGAGATGTGTATCTCGCGCATGCTCTTGCATGGCTACGTAATGCATTACATCATAATACAACAATCTGGTGTGCATTCCTCATTGTACTGGTCCTGCAGCAAGCTGAAACGATACTCAGTCGCCACTGAATACTTTTCCGAGACGTCAGGATTCCGCAGTCTCACCACGTCGAACGGTCGAACAGCCATAGACTTGCAGCGAACCTGACGGAAATGCTTGGTACGTAACTTCAATGTAACTAGATGGTGATCAGTGTCACATTCAGCGCCAGGGCGAGCTCTGGAATCCAGCACACTGGAGAACCACGACTTGCTGATCATGACATAGTCGATTAAATTACAGGTGCAACCATCAGGAGATATCCATGTATAGCGACTGCGCAGATTATGCTGAAAAGCTGTGTTACAAATGACCAAGCCATTAATCTTACAGAACTCTGCAAGCATGTCCCCACGTTCATTGCGCTGTCCAAGGCCATATTCCCAAACACCGCTTTCAAAGTCTCTCTCAACTCCCAACTTGGCGTTGAAATCGCCCATAAACACACATACCTGACGACTCTTCATGGCGTCCATAACAGCATGCAATTTTTCATAGAAATCATCTATTTCCTCTGCCGAGCATGACGAGGTCGGCGCGTACACTTGAATGATGGTAATAGGGACAGGAGTTGCCTGTATGCGCACCACCAAGAGACGATTTGATACTGGTGTGTATGATAATAAGCTGTTCTTCACCGCTGCGCTCAGAACGACAGCCACTCCGCCATATCCACCGTCCGGCGAGCCGCTTGAAATTACCAACTTGTCACCGCTGGCGAAATGGCCTTCTCCGCTCCAACGCGTTTCATACAGACCAAGAACATCCAGCTTGAGTCGTTTCATTTCCTTCAGCAAAAGATCTAGCTTGCCCAGCTCTCGCAGAGTTTGAACCAACCATGTCCCAAACTGATACGCTCGTGAGTTTTCCGTCCCTTTTTTTGTTGGTTTCCTCCAACTCCTTTGCTGACCGTTTCGTGGACCGGCTCTCTCAAAACTTTCTTCATGAAACAAAACAAACACCAGAGCACCGCTCGCCCACTACTCCACAGTCTTCGGCAAGAATAAAACAAGCACAGAAGGTTGCCATTACTTTCTGTGCTATCGATGTGCACCAAGAGAGCAGAGCACCAAAAAGTGCAACCGCTCTCCAGCAGCGCACATCTTTGTGTAATGGAGGAAGTGTATTATCCTCATGAAGGGAAGAACTTCCATAAACGTATGGTGAAACAGAATGTTGTTGCAACTGCAAGTTTCCCGCATGTGAGATTATCAAACAAAAGGCATTATGCCATGAACAATAGATGAACAATAAAACACCACAGTAAGAACAACTACGCAAGCGCAGCACATTTTTCCACAAGCATCCGCCATTTTTTCTTGTCTAGAGCCAGTTCAAAACATTCAGAAATATCAACATCGGCGTGCTTTACATCATTTTTAATATTGTCAATCCATCTGAGATGGGGTCGGCCACGTGGGCGCTTGATGTCCCGGGTATTAATTGCCATCTCCAGTGCTTGGTAGGACGCTGAGTTAGGTCCATCGCAAACAACATGGCCCAGCCAGAGCAGCCGACGTCTGCGACAGGTAGTGCTGACTGGGTCTTGTCGCGTTGAGGAGTACACCGTCACAATTGACATGTGGTGAGGGTACACAACACCAAGCAGGTACCGCAATTTTCTTCGGTGACACGCATCCAGCCGAGTACTGAGTTACTGTGTCAGTGCCCACAGTCCTCAGTTATACAACAGGATAGGCAGAATGAGGGCAGAGAACATACAAACTGTCTGGAGCTCAGTTTATGACGCTTCCATGAAATCGAACCGAACGCTCTATTTGCAGCACCTATTCTTGCCTGAATATCCTCTGCGGACCCTAACAAAGAGTCAAGCAGCTTGACAGATTGCCAAGAGGAGTCGGCTTTAGTTACTGTAATATATTGTGTTTTCTGCATATTTAACATTAGGTAATTTGAATTTTTCACTTGATTTCTCCACCATCTCCTCGACTTCTCGCCTCTCCGTGTCATGGATTGTTGTGTCGTCTGCATATTGGGTGGTTGGTGCTGGAAAAGATAAGTGTGATAGCATAGGATCAAGGTGGCGCATGGCACCCTCAGCATACACATTGTATATGATGGGAGAGAGCGGATCCCTTGCACTACCGATATTTGTAGCAAATGCTTTGCCTAAATGAGAACTGAGCTTCACTCTCACCGTCGTGTCCGAGATCAGAGTGGCAACGACATCAGTGGCAGCTCCAGAGTCTGAAAACCGCGCTAGCGCCTTCTCACGGACAATGGTATCAAATGCACCGCTGAAGTCTAATAGTGCGGCAGAGTATTTCCAGTCATCGAGAAGTGCACGTTTGCACATGACACGGGTATAAAGACTTCTTGAGCATACCAAGACCGATGCAATGCCACAAGAGCATCCTGCACCTGAGGATAATGTGCCTGAAGAAAGAGATTCTTCAGATGCCAAAATCTCTCCGCAGGACAAGAAGATCAAGATTCTGTGGGATTTCACCATCCGGTGCGATCGCTTCACTAAGCACCGACGGCCTGATATTGTTCTGGTGGATGGATCTGCCAAGAAGGCCCTGATCATTGACATTGCTGTACCTGGTGATCCACGCGTTGCTGAAAAGGAAGTTGAGAAACGTGCCAAGTATCAACTTCTTGCTTGCGAAATCCATCGCCTATGGCAAGTTGATACTCAGATTGTTCCTATAGTAGTTGGGGCTTTGGGCATGTTTCCAAACAGTTGCGAGGATACCTTGACACCATCGGTATCACCAGCTACTGCCCTGTATCTGAATGGCAAAATAATGCTCTCCTTGGCTCGGCAGCTATCCTGCGTAAGGTCCTTGCTTTGTAATGCTCTGGGGTGGGTGGCGGAGTTCTTTCGGTCCTATTTTCCTCCAAACTCTCTCATGTTTCTTATGATCGATATTTAGAAAAGGGTTGTGTGTTTCTCTTTGTTGTTTACCTACCATCATTTAATATCCATATGATGCATGGCCCCACCTTTGGCTGCTGGATTCTAGCTCGATGGGTGCCTATCTCTAGCCTTCGGCCGAGTGCTCATGGATAATTGGATAATTCAAAGGATGAGTCGGGGAAGTGAACTGCCTGAAAAGATAAAAAATCTCCAGACCCCTAGGACCTTGTCCTGGTGGCTGAGTAGATCAGACTCACAGCCATGTGGTCTTGGACCAAAAATTGCTGATCCATATTTTCCCTCGTGTCAGGCCATGATCCAGGCACCATCCCTGCAGATTGTCACTTTCTATGTCGCACATTATTTTGTGAAGGTCATTCTTGGAACATCGTATAAGGTTTCTTTCCAGTTTGAATAGTTCTTTCATAACCAAATCCACAATTCACGGGAGAGGTGCAAGTGCGGATCACCATAAATGATTATAAACTCTGTCTAATGCACTGGTGTGCATTGCAGTTCTATCTCCGTCTCTCTTTAACTCCCAATCTCACTCTCTGTCTCCCCAACTCTTTCCCTCCATCATTTTTCCATCTTTCTCTTCTTCTCTTTCTGCCTCTCTTTCTCTCATTCTCTTTCTGCCTCTCTTTCTCTCTTTCTCTTCTCTCATGCTCTTTTCTCTTTCTCTTTCTCGTTCTCATTATCTATCTCTTTATACCTCTCCCTCTTTCTCTCCATTTTTCCATCTATACCTCTCCCTACCACACTTTATCTTTCCTGATCCCTTTACTATCCCCTAGTTTCTCCACTAGTAGTAATTGAAACATGGTTTACAGTTTTACTTACGCTCAGGATATCTGTGCAAACCACAGAAAGTTTTTCTCTCAGGCGGTCGAAGCTTGCGTCATTGACGGTGGCATTGATAGCAAAGGGTCCTTGAAAGTGGAGTTTATCACCAAACTCCCCCTTGACACTACTATAACTTGTGGCAAGCTTTGCAGCAAGTTCTCCATGATCCTCTCTCTTGATCTCGTCGCGGAAGGTCGCAATGATCATGACAGTGAACGGCTGGTCTGTATTTGCAACAACAAGAGATGGGAAATGCAAACAAAAAAATATTTGTGGTGAGGAGATTTGAGGAAAGGTGATTTTAAGCAACACGCTCTCCGCAATATCATAGCATGCAGCTAAAAAATTAGTCAAAACAGTGTTTTAGAGCAATTGTGCTAATGCTACTTCAAATGAATTGGCGACCAATAGTACGTACTAGGGTGTTATGAGCGGCCTCGAAGATATATCTCGTGAGTGAGGATGGAACCATGCCTGACCTCCATGTGTTCGGTCTCGGGCTGAAAACCTTGGCAATCTACTGGAGAAGTGGCTGCACAGGCCAGTCAGAAGTGTGCGCTGCTGTTTCTGCGACAAATAAAGAAGAAGCAGCTAATGCCGATCAGGCCGATTCTATTATCAGATCTCTGGAGAGCAAAGTCTGGAGATGGAGAAGACAGATGCGAGTTCTCTGAATGTTTCCGAAAATCTTGGGCTCCATTGGGCATAGAAAATTTTTGTATGGACATTTCGGACGTTGCTCGATTGGAGAAGGGAGCAGAGTATTTGAACCAAGGGCACGGCTCTTCCATTCAAGGCTCTCAACAATAACGGATCTGAACGTTTTCGATCCAGAAGCTGCTTGCTGTTTTCTCACTTGTCAGTTATGGGCTCATTGTTGCAGCAAAGATGAGGCGGGACTGCATGTATGTGCACGTGACAAGTCTGTGGACTTGTGCCACGTGATTCATGCAGCACGATAGTGAGGGTATCCAGTAGACTGGTAGTGTTACAGAACTTCAGGCACAGACCATAGTGCTCTGTGTGGTAAAACTGTTACCCACTGCACACACACAGCGTGAAAAGACCAACTATGGAAAGTTTGGAATAACTTGAAGATTTGTATAATGTCCACTATCCGTGCACGCGCCCAGGTGCCATGTGTCGACACTCTTATCTCATTTTCTAGACCACCTCCGTGTGAAACGCATGGGCAAAAGGAAAGACCCAGTACATGGGGCAGTGCATGTTCAGCTTGATGTGCAGTAACAATTCGTTAGTACAGTGTACAGTGTAGTGCACAGCACTTGTGAATAAAACTGTTTGTTCATGTGAAAAACAGTCTGATTTCACGTATCCAAAATATCGGCGGGACCACATACGCTCCCGGGCCCATATTGACGCACATGTGCTCGACCTTCACCAATGTTTCAACCCAAGGACTTACTACAGGCATTTACCATGGACAGAGAGATGAATATCTAGGGCTGAGTCAGGTAGCACTTTTCTTCAGGGATTTTTGGGGTAGTTTTCTACGGGTAGCACGGATACCCCATTGGGTAATGTTTCCATGGTGACAGCACAATGCACTCCTTCCCTTACACACTGGATAGACATGCAGAGTACTACATGAATTTGTACATGTGCACTGTACATGATGCCATCAGCGACTTCGGGTTTTCAGGTACTATTCTGTACCCGTCTACACGAGATCCTCACGGGCTGCATGGGTATCCGACTACCCATGCACACCACTATAAATAACACACACACATAAACACACACACACACCTGCATGCACACACACACACACACACACACACACACACACACACACACATACCTGGCTGCATGCACACACACACACATAAACCTGCACCAGTATACAGAATCAAACACATACCCCAATCATTCATTCATTCATGTAGTGTCGTGGACATGGAAATCCGGTCACACTTCTAGCGGCCCCAGGGCACTCGCCATGCGGCCGTGAACAAGCGGAACACACATGTATTTATGCTCTGCAGAGCGCTGGTCGTATCAGATCAACATGTGCACTGCACGCAGTGTTCTGTTCGCGCTGAGGGCGCCGGCCCCGGTCAATCAACTGAATGTCCATGTCTGCTACAGTACATGCCGACATACGGATCAACAGACACAAACAAATTTTCACAAAATGCATTTGATAAAATATAGCACTGACCTGATGTTACCGATGGTGGCCTCCGGCTCAAAAACCGACCAACTGTGGTGGTTATGCTTGTTGTAATCAGTTTCTCGTCCCATTTACTATTGACAACAGCAAGACCGAGGCTTGGTACTGATGTGGATAGGCAGAAAATGTCGTGTGTCGCTGAAAACGCGTCCTGCCCAGCGAGATCTTTGATACGCAAATGCTGACCAAGATTATCAGTGAAGTTGGACATCTGGATGCCTCGGGTTCGTTTCGAGTCGTTTGATGTGCCGTTGTTTCCTTCTTCTCTCAATGTCTTGATCAGTGTCGACTTCCCAACAAGTTGTTCCCCGCTAACTAGAACAACTAGAGTGTTAGCGTCCACTTGGCCTTCGGAATAAAATTCCTCCAGCTGAAGGTAAGTCTGCGTATATATAATACACACAAGAACAACATGGTTGATAAATATGGTGGTAAAGACACACCTGGCAATATGGCGGTAAACACATGCCTGCCCACACACGCTCTCTAGGCTGCAAAGTTCTGGCACAGACCTCTCCTTCTTACCACCACCACCATCAGTTCGCGCCTGGCGCCTGGTCGATGCATGGCTGGCGGTATCTGGCAAAGCAGGCTGGTACATCAAGTAGCGCATGGCACATAGATGATGACACAGCAACGACATAGCTCGATTGCGACGTACGTTTCGTCCCCGCTGGACTCATCAGGTAATCTTCTTCTTGGATGTCTTCATACGGAGCTTGACACGGGAGAATGAAGCTGAAGACACCACTGCAGCTGTACTTATGGTTGATAAATATGAGTCAAGCTCCGAGTCAAGCTCCGTATGAAGACATCCAAGAAGAAGATTGCCTGATGAGTCCAGCGGGGACGAAACGTATGTCGCAATCGAGCTATATCGTTGCTGTGTCATCATCTATGTGCCATGCGCTACTTGATGTACCAGCCTGCTATGCCGGATACCGCCAGCCGTGCATCGACCAGGCGCCAGGCGCGAACTGATGATGGTGGTGGTGAGGAGGAGAGCTCTGTGCCAGAACTTTGCAGCCTAGGGAGCGTGTGTGGGCAGGCGTGTGTTTACCGCCATATTGCCAGGTGTGTCTTTACCACCATATTTATCAACCATAAGTACAGCTGCAGTGGTGTCTTCAGCTTCATTCACACAAGAACAACAATTAAAGAATAGGGGGTTCGTCAACTTACAACCACTCTATGCAGTTGCTATTCACACTTGGCGCTTGACTCGGGAGAATGAAGCTGAAGACACCACTGCAGCTGTACTTATGGTTGCTAAATATGAGTCAAGCTCCGAGTCAAGCTCCGTATGAAGACATCCAAGAAGAAGATTGCCTGATGAGTCCAGCGGGGACGAAACGTACGTCGCAATTGAGCTATATCGTTGCTGTGTCATCATCTATGTGCCATGCGCTACTTGATGTACCAGCCTGCTATGCCGGATACCGCCAGCCATGCATCGACCAGGCGCCAGGCGCGAACTGATGGTGGTGGTGGTGAGAAGGAGAGCTCTGTGCCAGAACTTTGCAGCCTAGGGAGCGTGTGTGGGCAGGCGTGTGTTTACCGCCATATTGCCAGGTGTGTCTTTACCACCATATTTATCAACCATAAGTACAGCTGCAGTGGTGTCTTCAGCTTCATTCACACAAGAACAACAATTAAAGAATAGGGGGTTCGTAAACTTACAACCACTCTATGCAGTTGCTATTCACACTTGGCGCATCCGCTGGATGAAAATTCTTTATTAGTGACGTCAAAAATTGTGACGTTTCGGGCCACTCACTGTGAATAGCAACTGAATAGAGGGGTTGTCAGTTGATAAACCCCCTTTCCTTTATAACGCAGTTGCGTGATGCCCACCATTTTCTTAGTAAAGAATAACAATTACTGGATATAAGTGTTGAAGGCAACTTTTCCTTAAAGGCTGTGAAGATGATAATGCTCCATAGTTGGCAGTGTTCATCTGTTTGACAGTAAAGTATGTGAGGAGCACATTTCTTAAGTGGAGATGAATTTTTTTATGAATTTAATGTAAATGAGAAGATCAGCTTGTCCACATGCTATATGGTTCTTTCGGAAAGCGGCATGCACTGCACACATGTACTTGCCTGAATTTAAACACAAGCAGGAAATGAATCTATAAAGATTCTTGCTACTTTCAACACTAGGATGGTGGACATCGAAAAAATGAGTCGGTGATAGCTTTGTGAAACGTATTGAAAGTACAGACGACTTTTTACCATATGCACGGATTGAAAACGAAACTTCATCCATTTTTAACAATAATTATTACTATGTACAAGTACATAACATCAGTGAATGACCTCAATTGCCACGATACTCTCCATAGCAACGGGATACTTCGAATACTCAGTATAAAAGATAATAAAGACTTTACCTGAAGAGCTCGGATCTTTAGCCAATGTAATCATGTAAAAAATAAAGAAAGGGCAAAATGTTACAAGTTATAACCAACTGTCCCTCAGTGCAACCACGTAATACACCGTCAGCATATGCGACAACAGGGCACAAAACTGACAAGGAGTACTGAGACATTCAACGACCTAACACCTCACTCCAACAAATCTAAGAGGTGTAAACCAACAACCTTCCAACTTGGGAGGCTCAGGTAAGGAAATATCTAAAGAGGGGAAGGAAAGCGCAACGAAGATGAGCACGGGCTTTGTCCCACAGCAACAAAGAATGCCGAACGTTACTGTATAAAGACTTTTCTAGTAAGACAATTGGGCGTACCGGTTTTACTACAACCCAACGACGCAAAGTAACAGACCACCCAAATTGGGAGGTTCAAGTTTATTATTGTAAACATGGAAGGGGAATCTGAGCATTCCTTGTCAGTTTTTTAGCTAAGTACTCCTGGTCAGTTTTGTGCCCTTTGTCACACTTGCTGACGGTATAATTATCTGGTTACACCGGTGGAAACTTAGTCATAACTCATAACATTATGTGCTTTCTATTACCTGAAGAAAACGACGGTTGTGAGGGTCAGCAGTCTTCTTCCCAGCGGCATGTCGAACAATTTCCATTACCTACATTGCCAATAGAACACACAGGAAACACAATGACAGATGTAAAAGTAGGAACAGGGGAGAGGTGGTTGGTAGAGAATAATCCGTAGAGAAACATGGTTCGAGTGAAGTGAGGTGCTAGGAAAGACGGTCACGGACAGGGTAGCATGAGCAGAAGGAATTCTTTTCTTTTATGGCTTTTCACTTAGGGCTTGTTCGAATTGTCGTTCTTTGACTTTTTTCCGAAGGGTTTGGAATAGCTACGTCACATAGTGCGTGGAGATGGTCGATCTTATCGGACGTCATCGACAATTCCACTGAAAACTCTAAAATGGTAGAAAACGTTCTTGTAATGGGACACTTCAACTAATCTCTTTAAAAAAATTGCTCGAACAGTTGCTGAAGACAATTCGAACGCCCCCTTAACTTAATATACATGTATACGTAGTACATAAAACAAAGTGTCTGGGGTCTTTGCTGCAAATAATGCTCAATACCTCAACAAGGGCAGAGCTTATACCACACGAGGCAGAACCACACAGACCAAAAACCTTTCTCGCAACTCCGAGTTTCGTGTTTCAAAAAACATTCATCAGACGATAAAACATAATAATGCTATTCGCTAGTTATATAGGGTAATTGTAATGTAGGCTAAGGCAGTGCTGCAACCACGAAGCTTGAGGAGATAACATCAGCGCTGGAATACACTGTGCGTAATATGAATGCAAGTGTCATGGCTGAGGTATATTGCTATAACCAAGATGGGAGATACATGTAGAACCGACGCAGGAATTAAGTAGGTTTCAGTGGTAGTTGTGTCACGCCAAAGGGATGGGTAGTATGTTACATTGCAGATACCAGTGTCGGTAATGGCGCAAAAATGTGGTTTGGTGTGAGTGTGAAAGAGTGAGGGTGTACATGTGTGTGCACGAGAGAGAGAGAGAGAGATAGAGTGTGTGTGTGTGTGGTTGTGTGTGTGTGTGTGTGTGTGTGTGCGTGCGGGCGTGCGTGCTTGTGTGCGTGCGGGCGTGCGCGTGTGTGTGTGGGAACACCGCATATCTCATCATGTGACCCCGGTGTAGTTCGCGAGCGAGAATTTTCTGGTATGTCTCCACTTCGAGATAAGCTCGCTTTCCTTGTTGAAGCATGTTTCTCTATCCGCGATTATGATCGGAACTTCTCCGAGAGGCAAAGTTGGCACATTTTGCTGATGTTGTTGTAGGCTTGTGCTCGTTCTGAAATACTCCACTGGATCGAGCAGTCTTCCTGTCTCTCCGTCAATTTCCAGACATACTTGGATAGTTCGGTGCTCTTTCGTCTCCGCTCGTGGTTGAATGTGTCCTTGTGGTTTCCGTACCGGGTCTTGAACGTTGGCTCTGTCGCTCCGAAGTACACACGTGCTGGGTTAACATTACGGCGTATCACTTCGGCTTTGTAGACCAGCTGCAAAACGAAGTGTATTGTTGACTCTGACAAGGAAAAGTAGCGGTGACAACTTGTCACTCCAAACGACAAGCTTCTCCTTGCGCCACCACAATTTTTCGGTGCAACATTTGTTGACTGTTTGGCATGTAGTTTTTGAACTTTACCGCAAGAGGAATGATGAAATCATATGCTTCATGATGTAGAATAATGATTTCCGGTTCACAACACGATCACGATCGTTCCTGATGTGCTATTCGAAACGGACCATAATGAAGGAGGTAAGACACATCATATTTCCTGCATGCTCTGCTCAGAACCCGCAGACACTATCGTTACAGCGCTAGCAGTATTGCATTGGCAAGACGTCTTGGAGATATGTCCTCTTGCAGTGAGAACAGGTGCAGTCAACTTCGCTTATAACGACACTCGGTGGGCGTCAAAAAGGTGTCCTTATTCGCAAAATGTCGTTATACCCAAAGTCTCATTATATGTATTACATGGGGTGGGACTTTGCTCTGGGCATGGAAATTCTGTCATTATTCGCGAATTGTCGTTTTATCAGCAGTCGTTATTGGCGAAGCTGACAGTATGCATATTTCACACTAACCTCGAACACCCCGAACATGGCTCAACAGGAACCGTGGCTAGTTTACATGCTGATGCTTGATGTAGATCTGCAACAGCAAGGAATGACCATCGAGCATGCCATCAAGGTCGCTTGGAGTTGACCAGCACAGGCTACACTGGTTCCATGTGGTACGTGACGTGCCCACATCACAGATTTCTTACGTGATGAACAACGCAATTTGGCCCCTACTCACCCTAGTCTCTGTGCTGCATGTTGCGGGAAAGTCCCGGTTGGAAGGTCTACAACGCGACCAGCGTGCTCTTTAGCCGGGCATCAAAATGCTTGTGATCCAATCTAAATATCAACGGGCGATCCTTGTAAGTACACGTACACTTGATCAATGTGACTCAGAATAACTGATGAACCGTGATCTACGAGACCTGGCAATCTGGTGTCACGGGGCACGTGATTTGCACAGTCAATCTTAACCCCAAAGGAAACTTACCTGCAAAATTTGAGCGAAATTGGAGAGATCGACTTGCACAAATGTTCTGGTTTTCTCTGATATGTTCTCTTTTACTAAATATTATTGCTGGAGCGAGCGATTCAGTATGAGCTCGAACGTCACTGCCCGTATCTCAGGTTTTCCGTTATCTCAGGACAGCTCGTCTACCATGTATTATACCGCTTTTTGAAGAAGTGTTTTTGGCACATATTACCCATATTCAGGATAAAATACAATGTCTTGATGAAAATGAGTGAATTGCACAGGTGGGCAGTGATAAATTGACACTAGTGTACACGAAAAATAATTCAAACCCCCAAATTGGAAGCAGGTTTGCCATAGGAACTCAAGCTAAAGGTGCCCAGTAGTGAGGCGTGCCAGTATCTGAGGCGTGCGGATAAAAGACGTTTGAGTGTACTCACTGCTATTAATATTTGAAACTATTGCATCCTTTCCGCAGTCTTAGTAAACTGCATTATTGCACTCATTCCAAACACCCACACAGGGACGTTTCTGCTGCGAACGTCACTTTTGGGTCACTAAATGTTTGGGTATAACCCATCATTAGTTTTAACCAGTAACCTGATACTGAGCCACGCCTGAATATTTGGGGAATCAAAAGCGGTGTTTGCAGCAGGGAGACAATGTGTCAGGAGGGAATATAGTGATATTGTTACCTCATTGGTTACGCAAGTTTTCGAATGGGAAATTCATTTTGATGAATTTTCTTTTCTTCTAAGTTGTGCTTACCTTCTTCTGCTCCTCTGGGTACTTGCTCTCAAGATAGCGGATAATTGCCCTTAGTCTAGCCGCACACTGAGCCGTACAGCTGAAACCATTTGCTACTGCACTGTCCAGACATGTCCTGTTGTCCTGGTAGAATGAACAATGGTCAATCAACAAGAAAGTAAAACAGACCTCTTAATAAACATTGCACATAGCTTTGTAAACCAGAACAGCAGTTGATTTTGAATACTTTGCAGATTCAAGAAACTAATGACTTTTCTAATGCCCGTTCTGAGAATCATCACAACTCCCATTAGCCCTTTGAGAGCCGCCCCATACTTGAATGTGTAGAATTATACACACACGACGTTGAGACTTCAACAGGCCGTAACCATGGTAACTCGGTCAAAACTAGCTCAAATTCAACGATCCAAATATCTATGTCGAAGAGAAAACTCTCAGCGTGCCGTAGAACCCATCCAGGAAGCGCTGCAATCAACGGTTCCTGAGATTTCACCACATGACAGCGGAGTCAAACTATGTCTCGTGATCCGAAAATTGTACAATATATTATTTTTTTAAATTCATACTTCAAGTATGGCATTGGTCAGAGAAAATAACGTAATTCGTCATTGGTTGATTCGCGTTGTTGAGTTGTAGTTAGACGGGTTTGTCCAATGGTCTTACCAATCTCCTTATCATCTTGTAGCTTTCGACGTTCTTTGCTCCCGTGGGATATACCTTGAGCACATCTTTCTTGCGTTTGTAGTATCCCTGCCCGACCACTACGGAAGCAGTACGGAACTAATACGGAGCTTGCCTGATGTATATTTAGTGTATCTCCGTATGTAAGCGTACGTCGTCTGCTGCATAAAAGCGGCTGCGCATTTCTGTTTTGAGGAAGAGAAGATTAGAGAAGAGAAGATTAGATTAGATTGGATAGCAATGAAAGCTAACTCGAAGAATAAGGATTCAGCCTCTAGGTGAGCACCGGAGAGAAAGTTATTTATTTTGCCGCTTCTTCTTTCAATAACGATTATATCTCAGGTGTGTACCTGAAAGTAGAATAAAAGTAATTATTGTTAATTGCACCGCGCCTACCACTCGGCTACCCATTACATTGGTGGCAGCGGTGTGTTTTAGAACAACGTGATTCGACCCCAGACTCCGATGGCGATTCCAAGCGACCCGCTACCTACATGTACACTACCGGTGGTGATGGCGAAGCTGATGAGGACGACAACAGGCAGGCTGGTACCCAAGACAAGGAGGGTATTCCCCAAGACCAGCAGCGTTTGATTTTCGCCGGCACGCAGTCGGAAGCAGGCTGGCTAGACCATCACTCTTTACGTCGCGCAAAGCGATGCTATCGACAATGTGAAGACCACGATTCAAGACGAGGAGGGAGGTCAATCAGGTCATTTGTCTGACGCCGAGCTAGCCGCTCTGAGTGACCGGCTCAACCAAGATGAAGATAAAACGTGGCTTGCTCTTCGCCGTAGCTCCAGCCGCCGCCGTGGTTACTAACGCTGATTCCAGGTATGGCATTTTCTTTCCTGTCTTCCTTCAGTCTCCCTGTTCTCTTCAGTCTTCCTTTATGCGAGTGTGTGAATCCAGATTAGTTTGGTAGGCGTCTGATCATGGTGAGCCACGGCTTACCCAGCTAACGTGGGACAATGTGTGTGACAACGCCCCTTATAGTTATAGTGTATTCAGTTCGGTTTTTGAACTGCGATGTTCCTGGCGGGTTGTGCCAGCGTAGTGCAGCAAGAGTGCTGTGGTTTCAGGTCCTATTTGGAGGACAGTTCTTTCCCTTTTTGACCCCGTGAGATTGTGTGAACCTGGTGTGCTTTACTTCTATTTTATGATTTGTTATCAGTTCATTTCTTCTGTCTACTCTAAACGTTATCATTTCCGATATAATTTGCCATCTTCCGGTTGACGCTGTTGTTCGTAACTCCTCACTAATTTTTGAAAATCACGAGGGCGTGATTATCTGTAGGAAGGGAGGGTGTAGTATCCCTGCCCGACCACTACGGAAGCAGTACGGAACTAATACGGAGCTTGCCTGATGTATATTTAGTGTATCTCCGTATGTAAGCGTACGTCGTCTGCTGCATAAAAGCGGCTGCGCATTTCTGTTTTGAGGAAGAGAAGATTAGAGAAGAGAAGATTAGATTAGATTGGATAGCAATGAAAGCTAACTCGAAGAATAAGGATTCAGCCTCTAGGTGAGCACCGGAGAGAAAGTTATTTATTTTGCCGCTTCTTCTTTCAATAACGATTATATCTCAGGTGTGTACCTGAAAGTAGAATAAAAGTAATTATTGTTAATTGCACCGCGCCTACCACTCGGCCACCCATTACACGTTTCCTTCCCCTCATTGGACCTTCCAAGTGATATAAGAAGGTTGTGTTTTTCAATTCGTAGATTCGTTGGAGCTAGTTGTCAGGTCGTTCAATGTCTCAGTACCTCTGTCAGTTTAGCATCTTGTTGTCGTCCTACCTGACTGTTTATGTAGTATCCCCACCTTGCTTGATTGTAGCTGACTATTGCAGTATCCCTGCCTTGCTTGATTGTAGCTGACTATTGTAGTATCCCTGCCTTGCTTGATTGTAGCTGACTATTGTAGTATCCCTGCCTTGCTTGATTGTACCTGACTATTGTAGTATCCCTGCCTTGCTTGATTGTAGCTGACTATTGTAGTATCCCTGCCTTGCTTGATTGTAGCTGACTATTGTAGTATCCCTGTCTTGCTTGATTGTAGCTGACTATTGCAGTATCCCTGCCTTGCTTGATTGTAACTGACTATTGTAGTATCCCTGCCTTGCTTGATTGTAGCTGACTAGTGTAGTATCCCTGCCTTGCGTGATTGTAGCTGACTATTGTAGTATCCCTGCCTTGCTTGATTGTAGCTGACTATTGTAGTATCCCCGCCTTGCTTGATTGTAGCGGATCCCCATACGTTAGCGTATGTAGTCTGTTACCTATAAAAGCTTCTGCTCATTTCTGTTTTCACATATTTTTTTACATAATAATCCAGGTGTGTACCTGAGGAAGTCTAAGTAAAAGTTATTTAGTGTTAAGCACTGTGCCTCCATTCGGCTACCTATTACATTGGTCGCAGCGGTGGTTAAAACTTTGTCAGATTTGAACCCCATCTCTAGTGCAGCCTTTCACTTAATTTCTTTCTGTATATTCTCCTACTCTCCTTGACCAATGAGCGGAAGACAAAGTTTATTGGTGCCAAAAGCGTTTCTGAACCTACAACGACCAGAGATCAACTCAGAATCCCGGATCTACAGTCCATCCGCACAGGAGATCGACGCTGCGGCGTACGCGTTCCGGCCAAGTGGATCACCATAATTCTCCAGCGAGATCTCATGCCCTCCGGTATGCCCCTGTACTACCGGTATATATACGACCAAAGCGGCGTCGGCCCTTACGTCTCCGTCCCTATTGCCGATCCTGCAAGAAGATTGGCCATGACATAGCGTATTGCTATCGTCCTCGCTATCGTCCTCGCTATCGTCCTCGCTATCGTCCTTGCTATCGTTCTCGCGCTACACGACCCGTATTCCCTGCAACCAAGGTATGTCACCCTACTTGCTGTACCACTACTCTATCATCAACCCGTTTAAATGCAACTGTTACTCACGTGAGTGCATATGCCACCCCTATCATGCAAGCTACGCCGCGTATTATGCAAGCTCCACAATCCCACGGTGGTTTCCATACTATCCTCATGATCATTGCTGCCATATTTCCCTTACTAACTCGTTCTGCTGCCAAAATTGTCTCAACGATCACATCCCTCCCTTTTTGTTTGTTTGCCACATTACACTCGATAAACGAGGCTCTCCAGGTCCATCAGCCACTCCATCCCACAGACAATCCCACTCCCAGTCCCCGTGCCACCATTCGATAAAAAAAAGCATCGGACTGACAACCCTCCCTGTTCCTCCATGTACGTGCAGATATATGCAGTACACAGTTCTGGATCACCCAACATTTCGCCCCACTGAAGCTCCCACACAACTGATTTCTCACAGTTCTGTCAACAAAGTTTCCTAGCCTTTTCATTACCCATCCCGACCATGTCCACCCCGCACAGACCAAGTAATCGATTTGCTGGAGCAGCAGTCACTGACCTGGATCAGACGCAAAATGCTGTATACCCTGGAAGCACACACTCAAATAACCAGTCCATGTAACAATGATTATACCGCCACATGGTGAGCGAGTCCTTTCCCGTTGTACCGTCCCAGAGAGACTCGAATCAAGCAATGTTACCGTCCCAGAAAGACGCGAATTAAGAAATGCTACCGTGCCCAAGATAAGGGTGACGCGACCGAACACATCCCTTTTACCATCCAATGCTGAGACGCGAACACATACATTTTACCGCTCCACAGAGAGACAGGTCCTTCACACATTTTACCACAGGGTTCCTACTTTATCAGTCTACCAAGTCTACCAGTCTACCAATACATACTGTCTCACGACAGAACATTGGTCCACCTGCCTACTTTTGAAAATAACGAGGGCATAATTATCTGTAGGAAGGGAGGGTGTAGTATCCCTGCCTTGCTTGATTGTAGCTGACTATTGTAGTATCCCTGCCTTGCTTGATTGTAGCTGACTATTGTAGTATCCCTGCCTTGCTTGATTGTAGCTGACTATTGTAGTATCCCTGCCTTGCTTGATTGTAGCTGACTACCAGCTGGCTTCTCTGACGACACCCAGATGTTACCCATCATCATTGCAGGGGTTACTGGTGGCTCATCCAGGCTATACAGACACATAAGTTAGCGGATGACTATTCACCACTGCTTCAACCTCATACAAGAGGGTCTCAAGCTCCTGGACCTTCAGAAACGCTGTTCCCATTACCTTCTTCAAGGCACTCGTCACCGTACCAACCATTCGCCCATAGAAGCATCCATGCCTTTGCGCAGCTGGAGGATTGAATATCTATGGCACACTCAGTTTGTCAGATGCCGCCTTGAACGTTATAGCGTTGTCAGACCTGATCCGAGATGGCAAACCACGTCTCGCGACAAACTTCCGAAATGCTATCAAGAATGAGTCAGTACTTTAAAACCTATCGAGCACCTCCAAGTGAACTGCTCTGCTGCTGGTGGCA